ATTATTAGTGGTGAAAGGGACAGGGTATTTATATTTGAAAAGTGACCCAGATTTGACTGAACTTGAACTTTAGGCTGTTTTTATAGACAGACATTAAATATTAGGATAGGTCTGAACTTGTGATCGAGCTTATCATCACCACCCGGAAACAAGTAACTTTGTCATAATTTGTTGTATTGTATAATGAAATCGTAAATCTCGTACATCTCACATGTAGATGTAGTTTTTAAGTCTAAGTAGATATCATAAATAAAGTAGAAGTGAATCGATCTTTCATTTTGAAAAATATCCTAAGCTCTATTTTCTTACTGATACTGTCTGAACTTTTGACCGATGTTTGGCACAGTATTGCTTTTATTTGTAAAATGCTGATTAACTACAAGAATTGCACTCTTTCGTTTATAAACTGTATAAAATCTTACATACTGAGTTGAAATGAACAAATACTAATATGGACATAATCTACAACAGTTGTATGAAAGCTAATTTACTACTTTATAAGCTAATATGTTTATGTAAGTAGTAGTGTATCTTAAAGTGTTTTAAATTAATGTTTCAGTAAGTGTGTTATCAGTCTTATTTAGAGTTTGTGATTTTACTTAAATACACTTATGATAACATATCTATACAGAGTCTTGTATTAGACTGATAAACATAATCTTTTAGAAACATCAATAATCAGTTCGTGGAGTCTAATTGAATAGAAAGTATACAATAATTTCATGCTAATTGAAATGTACATGTTCCGTCAGTTATTGAGAAATAGAATAACGTTAATACAGATTTAGTGCTTTGTATCACTATGTAAAGTGAAAGAACTATGTTTACTGGCTTTTAAATTCAGGGACATACAAACTGATCATCTCTAGTTAAAGTATGTTGATCATTACATTTTTGTAAAAAACATATGATTATGTTGAGATTGAACCATTTATTTCCAATATTAACTATAATGTAAATACATAAATAACGACAATGTATTATAATTGACTTGTTCAGCTTTTGTTTTCATAAAATATTTGTGCTATATTGATCAGTCTTCTCTCTTAGTAAAATCACAGTGGATATTCTCTATTAAGGATCAAGAATCATAGAAGTTACTTAGACAGAATTGCCAATCGCAGAAAGAAAAGTCACAAAGAATATCCGGTACTTAGGATAAAAAAGTGACTTCCACTATAATTACTGGTTCTAAGTACTGAATGTCCCTGGTGAATTTCGTTTCTGTGATTGCTAGATCCGTGCAAGTGACTTCCACTATAATTACTGGTTCTAAGTACTGAATGTCCCTGGTGAATTTCGTTTCTGTGATTGCTAGATCCGTGCAAGTGACTTCCACTATAATTACTAGGATTGATATTCATCCCCCATTCACATTGGTTACGTCCCTCGATTATCTAAGATTGATATTCCTCCTCCCATTCACTTTCATTACGTCCCCCGATTATCTAAGATTGATCTTACTCCATATTTAGTGATTGTTTCCAGTTAAATTCACTGTGACTTCTGTGTCTAGATCCATACATTCACTTTGGTTACGTCCCCCGATTATAGTCATTAGTGGTGATTGCGTAGTGATATTCCCCAGACTTGTTAATAACAAGGTGCTTTTACACTGATTTAATTGTTCGCTTCCTATATAGCACCTAATATCATTTATGGACAGGTAGTCAGTAGTTGTGATTGCGTAGTGATATTCCTCAGACTTGTTAATAACAAAGTGCTTTTACACTGATTTAATTGTTCACTTCCTATATAGCACTTAATAACATTTATGGACAGGTAGTCAGTAGTGGTGATTGCGTGGTGATATTCCTCAGACTTGTTAATAACAAAGTGCTTTTACATTGCCTATGCATTTTTTACAGTTTTCAAAGCCAAAGTACTTTTGAAAACACTAGGTTCATTAGGTAGAAATGGCTACAGAATGTTTTGTAGTCTTTTAACCCTAGCTCAACGGTGGACTAATGTAACATTTCTCGACAAGCTTTTCGAAGAAAGTTATTCAGTAGGGAGTTAGCTATTGTTTTGAATTTTCTACATTCTTCAGATACATACTTGCTATACCTCTTGCTGGATAAAAATAAAAACAACAGCAACGAAACTTTCCCATTGACTTTCATTACGTTCCCCGATTATTTAAGATTGATATTCCTCCTCCCACTGACTACCTGTCCATAAATGTTATTAGATACTATATAGGAAGTGGACAATTAAATCAGACAGAGCCTAATGTCTAAAGAGTTTGTCACAACCCATGACATTCAATCAACGATTTGCTGCTGCTCAGAAAATTTACTTGAATGAATACATTTATGAAATAAACTAAATTTAAAAAGAGTTGATATAGTTTAAACTTTGTTTTGTACAAACACTGTCTGGTTCGAAAGTTACTTACACAATCACGAGATTATGAAAAGTTAAACGATTAGATGTTTTTATTGGTAATGCAAATTACATTTGTGTAATTTAAATCATATTTAACGCTGCAACAAACAGAAATTGGTATAAAACAACATAACATTAAGTTTAATAGCTCTTACATTTAGTATTTAGATAAAATAAGAGAAAAATCAAAACAGCATCGCAAATATGAACGGTGATGATTCCGACTTTGAAACCTTACATTAGAGACTTCCGACATTCTTTCATTAGAAGTAAAAAAACGAACAATACAAGGGATTGAACGCTACGTATAAACCTTCCTTTACGGACTGACCACACACCTTCATCAGAAGTAAAAAACGAACAATGGACAGAATTTAATGTTATGTATAAACCTTATCCCCTTGCACAATTTTCCTTCTTATACCGACCTATCAAGCAAGAAATGAATTTATAAGACTTTGTGTGTATTTCCGCAGGACAATGTTGAGTAGTACAATCTAAATGTAGAACAGACTAATGATTTAATCAAACAAGAAGAATCGAATGTTTCAAATTCTATACTTTTCTTGTTTGCAGTTTTATGGATTTTTCTTGTAAAGTCCTTGCTAGTTTACATAATCAGGTTATTTGAAAATGTGCGGGAAAAAAAAACACTTGGGGTGAATTTTACTATTCCTCTTAATGATACCAGACTTCTACTTTTCATTATTAATTACAAGTCTTCCAATCAATTATTCTGTTTATTTACACGTGTATCTTTGTTAGTCTAACCTGTTGTGTATGCAGGTAAATACACATTGGTGGTCAAAGTACAACATTAAATTCCGTCTATTGTCCGTTTTTTACTTCTGATGAAGGTGTGTGGTCAGTCCGTAACTTTATTCATGTTTATAAAACGACAGAACTAACTCAGGGGTTTTATTTGAAATATTGAAGTGCATTCAGTGGATTGATATTACATTCTTAGGAAAGTATTCGTTACTTCGAGAAAGGAACAACAATGAGTCAACATTAAAAAAAGTATTGCACTCTTAGGAAAGAAACGTATTCGTTACTTCAAGGAAGGAACAACAGGGAGTCAACATTAAAAAAGTATGCCTACAACGTTGCTGAATAGTTATGCATTAGTTTTTCACATGTCATAAGCCTAGGCCTTGAGCTCCCACGTACCCTACATTTAACATGGTTTAACTGCTTCTCGCCAGTGTCGTCGTATCCAGGACGCAGCCATTGAGGGCGCAATGACAAACTCAAAGGGCGCGAGTACATTGTAATCATTTCCAGTTTTCGTTAAAGATTTTTGTTTTCATTTATTGATGTTCCT